ACGAAATTGAGGCCTATTTGACTTTCCCTGACGTTTTTCGGGCGATTTTGGGCCTGTTCCTGATTCCTGACGGATTTCGCGAAATTTCGGTGGGCCCGTGCTAATACTGACGAATTTCGCCATACAAATCCTGACTAATTTCCCGTTTTGAAATCAGACCTTCAGGTCTAGACCTATTATCCAGGGTCCTTCTATGCTGTCTACGGCATTTAATTACGAGTTCTATTCACCATCCCACGAACCCCGGGCTGTATCCTGCCTTGGCAGCCTTGCATTGATTCCGATGCCTAAGAATTTACAACCAAAGAGGTCACCTGACGCCAATCAGACATCTTAAACTCGTACAACCACCGCGTCATTCTCATTTCTGACCACAGTGCGTATCAGTCCACCCATTAATGTTACGATATTCCTAACACTTCTAGTGAACTACCGACAGTGCGCGTTCCCGCCCCACAACACCTGCACCTCTCACGTATTCCATTCTCACTTGCAGGGACCTGCCGCCAGCTGGTGGTTTCGAGGCAATCAAATACAAGCGAAATCTCCCTCTCCGGGGGCCCGGCGCCCTCGTAATCCTCGGGGGTGTGACGGCGCTGTGCTCGTTTGGATTCTACCGTCTTGGATTGGGCAACTTGGAAAGAAGGTAGGCACTATATATGTCGTCATCTGTGCGGCGGAGATGCTGGATCAGCTGTCGAGTGCAACGTGAAACGTGGCTCGTTCTGCTTTGCTCGTCGAGATAGAGCAGGCCCGCTGGATCCGGCCGTCCGCGCAGCTTATCGCTTCGGTCCGACCTCAACTTGGCTGGCGCGGCAGCTGATGTACATTGTCTCTTCAGGGAACTGCAGCGAGAAAAGACTTGGGCGCGGATACACCTCGTCCCGCTGCTCATGGCCGAGGGAGACCGCGTCGACCACGAGCTCAACCAACGTGGGCTGGCCATCGAAGCTGCTATTATGAAAGATGTCAAGGGCTGGGTGGTAAGCAGACCCCTGTGTTTTTGGAGGAAGTGGCAACTGATCTCGAGGCGCTGCTTCTTTTCCGCAATGCATCGTATTCCAATCTTGGCCCTCAATCTCAGCCCGGCGCCGCGCAAGCCGTCTACAACAACCCACGCTACTACGCCCGCGACAAGGACGCACCCGGGATCTGAGACGTCGGGGATTTGTACATGTAGCCTACTCGTCCGTACGCTAGGCCTATTCCGCAAGTCATGCATGCATTTGTTTCGCTGTTTGCGGGGGGGATCGTTCCGGAGGCCGAGGACGCGGGACAATAGGTCAGAATAGGTCCCGTTGTTTCGGTATATTATTCCCAAAGGGGGCCGGAGTCAGTTCTTTTTTTACCCTTCTGTTTTTGCTTCCATTTCCGATTCGAGTGCGCGCAAAAGGACGATTGTGAGTCGGAAAACATCTCCGTTGCACCGCAACTACAGTTATTACACTCGTCCGCGGGCCTCCGCATGCGCCCGCCCGCAGTGTTTCTGGAGATAAAAGAGGGTAAACCGGCGCCAGATTCAAGGTTGTAGAGATCTTTGGATTCCTGATTGGGAGGAATCTCATCCCGAATCAGCTCCTGTCCGTCCGGGGTCGGCACAGTGTATTGATTCAGTCCGAGTCACCCAAGCCACAAATGGTTCTATCGAGGCTCCGAATCCCTCTTAAGCAGGCCATTCGACTTGCTGTCACTCCGTCCGCGCCCCCGATTCTGCAGCTACACAGCTTGCCCCTCCGCCGTCCCCCTCCCCCTCCCCACCATCACATGCCCGCGACCATTGTAAGACGCCACCTCGCATCTGACACGATGGCCTCGCACTCTGACGACCTCTCCATCAAGGACTCCATGGCCTTCCTCAACTTTGAAGACCAATTTCTTCAGAGTCCCGAAGAGCAGATGCTCTTTGAATTCGACGACTATCCCGCCGCCGTCCCGTACGGGTACACCCCCACCGAGGGATATGATCACTCGGGCGAATACATCGACGACCTCGACGTCAAGCCCGTCTTTCCGCGCAGCCCAGCTTACGAACTGGCGGCCTCTCCGCCTTATTCGCCAGACAGCTTTTACGGCTCCTACCCGGAGGACTTCAAGAGTCCTCCCCAGCTCGACACCCTATACCTCTCCAACTGGCTCAGCCACGAGCAAGACTCGTCGCCCATACCCTCCCCGTCCTCGCCGATACCCATTCCCTCGTCCGTGAGCCCCCAGTCGCCCTCCTTTGTCGCGTTCCGCGACCCCTCCGCATTCGCGCACGATGCGCCCTTTTCGCCAGCAGCATTTGCCGCGGCGCTTCCATTGCCGGGGTCCAACTCCCCATCCGTGTCTTCTTTCGAGGATCATCATTACGCGCTGCAGCAGATCGAGGCCGTCTCGCCCCACGAGACGCAGACGCCTGCCTGGGCGAGCCAGCTTTGGGACACGCCGCCCCCGGCGTCCCCGCGCCACCTGCGCACGCCCTCGTCCCCGCGGTCCTCTGCGCGCCATTCGCCGCTGTCGGGCCAGGGGCTGCGCATCCCCGCGCCGCGGCGCAACTCGCTCTCTGCGGGGCACCTCTTCCCGTCCTCGAGCGCGCCGAGCGTCGCGCCCGCGGCGCTCAACACGATCCGCGCGTACAGCCGCCGCGCCGAGTCGTTCAGCACGCCCGACGACCGCGACGCCACCGTGCGCCGCAAGAGGCGCATCGCGACCCCAGAGGAGGGCGAGGCGCAGGACAAGGCCCACGATAGCCGTACGTGGCCGCCACGCTGCATTCATCCATTCGCTCATTCCTGACGTCCGCACAGCCCCCGTCAAGTCGATGCTGCGGCCCCCCAAGTTGGCGCCGTCGGCGTGGCAGCTGTATTTCACGGACTGGATCCAGCGGCAGCAGGCGTCGAGCAGCCGGAAGCTCAACGTCGCGCAGGCGGCCAAGGAGGCCGGCCAGGAGTACGCCAGCCTCAGCGAGGAGGAGAAGGAGGTGTGCATTGGTCTGTTCTGCGGATTTGACGTCATCTCATCTTGTCTTTAGCCCTATAGGCGGCGCTCGCAGGCGGCCAAGGACGTGCGCGAGCGCGAGCTCAACGCATACATGCGCGGGCTCACGCCCGAGGACATCAAGCGCGAGAACACGTTCCGCGCGGCGCAGCGCAAGGCGGGCAAGTCGCGCAAGAGCAACATCAAGGATCCGAACGCGCCGAAGAAGCCACTGAGCGCGTATTTCATGTTCCTGCAGCGCATCCGCGCGCACCCGGAGCTCGTGCGCGAGATTTTTGGCGAAGAGACGGAGACGACGAAGCAGAGCGTGCTGGCCGCGGCCAAGTGGCGCTCGATGACCGACGATGAGCGGAAGGTGTGTTTTACTTTCGCGTTTCTGAATCTCCTTGGAGTGGAGCGAATGCTGACTTGTCGCAGCCGTTCCTGGCGCAGGCGGAGCAGGAGAAGATGGAGTACGAGGCGGCGCGCCGGCTGTACGAAGACGGCTCCGTCGGGTACGGCTCGAGCATCAACTTCAGTATCCTCCCCGGCAGCCCCGCATTCCCCGCGATCAAGATAGAATCGGAGAGCGAGAGCGAGGGCTTCGCCACCGACGACGGACATGGACCGTACCACATTCGCTCATGAGCTGCTCTCTTTCCCCGCGCGCTTTAAGTTTCGCGCTTTACGACCCTAATGTCTTTCGCTCATCCGCCTTCGTTCGTGGCGTATTTATCCTCTTCGGACAGCTGTATATTATGCGACTTATGTGTTAGCCTGTATTGCTAGACCTCTACATACTCATCTATGCCTCATCCGTGCTATACATGCACTTATACGTAGCCCTTCGAGCGCCTGTGTACCGCACCGTGCCTGAATGGGATCTAATTTTGTCTGCGCGAATAATAAAATCCGGTCTCGACGCTCGATCAAGACGAGGGGAGGCGCAGAACCATGTTCTGGTGCGGCGCGCCGTCTTCGTCGAATTGGGGGCCCTGTGGAGATTACAGAGAATGGAATGAGATCAGCGATTCGCGCGCAGCCGATCGCCCGTGCGCACCTCGGGCGCGTATCCGAATCTGGCGCAAGGTTTAGGCGTTTGGCTTTGCACGGCGCGCGGGGATTTAGCCGCGCGCGGCCTGACTGTGCTTACTTTGCGTAGAAGCCCATCGCGGGGAGCTGCGAGTGGCACTCGATCGCGGGCGCCTGGGCGTCCGCCGCGGCCCACTTATGCAGCGCCTCGACGAGGAGGCGGCCCAGGCGGTGCTTGCGGTAGGCCTTATCCACCGCCAGCCTGATCAAAATTTAATTAACGGGTGCGGGGGAGATGAGCATCCGGGGGACGCCGCGGATGGTTATTAATGACGGTACCTGCTGAGCTTGTAGCGGTCGATCCCGGGGTACGTGCCTGGGCGCGTCCCGCGGATCGTCCCGACGGATTTAACGCTCTGCGCGCCGCTCGCGGGGTCCTCCTCCGTTACGCGCACGAGGAAATGCGTCGCGGTGCCTTCCACCCTGGACGGTCGAGTTAATTAGCAGGCATGTACGGCATCGCCCAGGGCGGGAACAGACGGACTCGTCGAATTCGGTGTCGAGCGGGAATCCCTAGCGGTTCAAAAGGAGGTTTTTTTTAATTAACGGGCGACTGGGTGGCGTAATTTCGGGGCGTGCCTGTTCGATGTGAAACACCTCCTTGCGGATGCGGTGGCAGTCTTGGATGATTTTTTGGTCGCCCACTGCGAACACCACTTCGGTCAGATGACTCGCGGCTCCGACATGACGGCTGAAGATGGCTGAGCGAAAATCCTGATGCGGTTGCCAAATGGGGCGTGCTTGTAAACAGAGTACAATAAAATGACAGGTTCCCCAATTGGGAAGGGCTCCGATGATGCTGAGCTGCGACGTTGAAACAAAAATTCTCAGAAGGTTGGACTGTCGAAATCAACGTGGAGCAGCAAAAGAAAAAGAAAATGCAGGGATAGTAGTTATGGTGCTATAATCAGAAGGGGGAAGCCAGAGACGGGAAAGGACTCCAAAAAACTATATGGCCATCGTGGGGGTCGAACCCAAGACCTTCGCGTTGAATTCATAATGAATATTAGCACGACGCTCTAACCAACTGAGCTAGACGGCCGTTGTAGCAGCTTTCCTGGGCAAGTAGGTTCAGGTGGGGGCCACTCGCTATGTCACCACAAACAGAAGAAAAACGCTAGAAAAACGAGGGACGACCTAGATCTTGAAGCTGTACATGTGGTCGTTGAACGGATCGCGCCAAGAAGAAAGAGAAAATCCACCCTGTGGAAAAAATCCTGGTCGGAAAGCCCTGCTGGCGGCGTGGATGGCGGGGCCGCGAGTGGGGATCTCAAAGGATGATTTGTACCGGGTCGATAGAGGAAAGAGAGCAATTGGTCGCGGAGCGTCCAACGCAAGTAGTAAGGTCTCCTTCCTTCTCCGAGCCCCCGGTATTCGACTCCGCTGAATCAGTTTTATCCCGACAAGTTTCAAATGCACCGGAATCTACCGGAATGCGCAACACCATTCCTTGGGATCAGCATTCGTTTAGATTGATCGTTGAGCGCCCTTCCACAGAATTAGGCCGACACGATTCCACACTTGTAGGCCCGGTAAGTTAACCCTTTGCTTGTCAAGTCAAGTATGCGGCGCAAGATGCAAGCCCAGGGCTGTTGCATACAGGGCGAGTTTAGGGCACAATACTATCGCCAGCGAGTAGTTCGAGATAAGGCACATGCTAAAAACGTAGGGAACGGGACTGGTATTCACGGATCTCGTCAGCACAGCGTTGCTGCACTATCTCCTGCTGCTCGGCGGTGGGCCCCATGATCTCTGCACACAGTAAGGGTACGTTAGTCGGAGTAATATATACAACGCACCGCACTCATGAGTGGTCAGCCCTGCTCTCCAGTCGGCGAGCTTCTGGAGATAGGGCATGTCGCCTGCAGGCGGCGATCAATGTTCGCGCGCATGATTTGCATACGTTCTTCCTCATTCTAGATATTTTTTAGTCATAAGACAGAAGCTAGACTGAAGTCGACGTACAGCGTCCAGCGGCACGGATTGAAGCTCGTGCGCTACGCCATGCGCCGCAGTCTTGATGTCCTCCTAAATGTTGGTTGAATTGAAGAACAGGGCCCACTTGAATAGTTGTCATGTACCTCTAGCATACTCTTCTGAGCTAGGAGCCTCCCCAAAAGCGCTTCCTCTTCAGCTGTATAAGTCCGAGTCGGTTGCTCAACATGATCGGCTTGTTTTTGCTGCAGAAACTAGGCGCGGTGTCGACCGAAGTTGCCGAGTTGATCTTGAGTGATCGAGAGGCCGTTGGATGAATTGTTCGATGACGAGGAGGAGGACAAAGTTTGCATGATAGCGTAAGGAGAGAGGAGTGTTCTGTCGGGCTTGCTCCTTTGTTGCTCCCTAGTCACAGAAAGTCGAAGCCGATGTTGTGACTTGAGGAACCGAGACCGTACGATAGGAAGGGATACTTTTCGTGACAGGGGCTGCAGCACTGCCATCGTACATAACCCTATTCTAGGGCCATCGATCCCTTTACAAAAAGAAATACAATGAGTTACTGTCCTGCGTCCTCTGGACTTCTCTGCTCAAACATTCGCCTGAACCTAACACTATTCGAGCCACTCCCGAACTCGCATTGCAAGTTTCACCAGCCTCAGCGCACGTTTCATTCGCAGAAAGAATGCGAGATCGGAGGAAGAGAACAGAAACCCCCCAGTACATAAAAAAGCGTGTGCGTGGTCGTGTACAATGTAAGCAATATTTATGTATGGTCAGATCAACGGAAATTAGTATGGGCGTATTGGTGGTCGTGAAAGGTCGTGAAATCAATCGTACATGCGACTCTGAGGTCTCCCGCCATCGAAGAAGATCTTGGAGAGCGGGCGGTTCGGTCGTGCTCTCCGTTTCCCATCCCGCATGCTCCGGATAGCCTGGTCCAGGTCGCCTCGTCCAACAGAGCGTCCCTGTGATCCCGCCTCGGGCAGCGCAAGAGATGAGGAGTCCCTGGAAATCTTGATGGTCTGGGTTGCTTGCGTGAGCGCACATGGGAGGGCATATACGCAGGAGACTCACAGATTCCGATGTCGTGTCCTCGGGAGGTTCCATGATGGTAGGACGCGTCTTGATTGGCGGGTTCAGCTTTGCCTGTGCGTCATGAACCTCCAGCGCGCATTTCTACACACCCAAAGTCAGGTAAACCCTCTAAGCAAAGTTACAAAGCTTACCTGGAGCGAGGATGAAAAGGACAGAATGTTCGAGAAGAACTCTTCCGGTTTAGAAGCCTCATCCAGGTTCTCGCCATAGTACGCCAGCAGCGAACGCAGTTCTGCCTCCAGGGAATTGCCCATGTTCTTTAGTGCAGTGACGCTGGGCCCGACTTCGCTAACGAAAGGCTGCGGAAACTAACGTGAGCAAACGCCCGTTCGTTCAAAAATATACGTACCTGCATGATCCGGACAAACTGGTCGTTTGCTGCCACCCCCTTCGGGGATTTGAGTTGGATAATCTCCGTATTAATCTGGCTCAAGCCAACGACCAAAGAATTCACGGATTGCATAACTGTCTGGACGGAAACTTGAGAAAGAAGCGTCAAGATGGATTTTACTTCGAATCGGGTCAAATTTAGACATGCCTCGTGCTGCGGCTTCCAAGTGCGGGAGATCTTCGATGAAGGTAACCAAGGACGGATCGGTGCGCATCAAGACACGGGCAAGATAATGCAACAGAGTCGGGCAATCGGACCCGGCTCTTGCAGTCTTGGTGTCTTTCATCTGCAAACGCCGTTAATGATATTCCCAAATGACCATGCAAATCAACGGACCCCGAACATCGCTCTGAGTTGGAAGCCGCGAGCTCCACCCCGGTAACTCGAGCCATTCAGCGCGTTCCCGACCGCCAGAACAGCCTGTCCAGTGTGAGCACGAGTGATATAACAAGTGGACCGGTCGACAAACCTGCAGCACTTCCTTGAACTTGGGCGACGACCGCAATTCGTGTGAGGCGTTCCGAACAAAATTCATCTCGGGCCGAATGTCTGCAATGTCCAAGTCCAGTCTCCGGCGGAATAGAATGCAATCCAAACGGTCCGAGAGCCGAGGAATTGTCATGATCTGCCACAATGGTTGGTTGTTCGCTCAAGCTGAATAAGTCACCATGGCACGCTTACCTGCCCGAAATATTGATCGGCTTTTGCAAGCTTGCTCAAATCACCAAAGTCCTTGAGTCGCCCAATCTAAAAAAGGATTTTTAGAAAATGACTAGATGCTGAACGAGACTACCTTACCTCCTCTAAAGTTGGGAGATTTACCCTGATATTCTTGAGGTCATCAGCACTCAGTTTCTCGTCGTCTAACTCTAGGATGGCGTTCTTGATGTCGGGTAAACTCATCTTTATGCGAGCCAGCATGATAGCTGGCAGATCTGAGACGACAGGAACGGGAAGGAAAGAACTAAACACACCGATATTGTTGGCTCTCGAAATTTCTAAGAGAGTAGTGGCAGCTTGCTTCTTCGAAGGGCTCACGCGCAGCTGCGAGGGTGTCACGGGAGTGGTATCAAGCGAGAAGGTCGCCTCCAGGTCATCCAGGATGAAAGTAGTCCGGGCGGGCGTCTCGTTCCATACTGTGGACGCCACGGCCGAGGGCGTGAGCTTCTCCCAGAAGAACGGTTTAAGCCGTTTAGTGGGCTTCGAAGCCTGGGGTTGTCCGCCCATTCTGAAAGCCGTCGGAGGGGGTGGCGGGGGCGGCGGTCCACCCGTGAATCCGGGTGGAGGCGGCGGTGGAGGAGGTGGGGCGGCCCGCCGCCAGACGGAGGCGGCGGAGGCGGCGGCGGCGGTGGAGGAGGTGGGGGCGGCCCGCCGCCAGACGGAGGCGGCGGAGGCGGCGGCGGCGGCGGAGGGGGCGGGCCAGATGACAACAACGACGAAGGGGGCGGTGGGGGCGGTGGGGGCGGGGGCGGGGGAGGCGGCGGTGGCGGAGCATCGGTGCTCACACCGGTATCGCCGGACTGGACAGGCAAGGACATGGTCCGGGATGGTGGAGGCGGCGGAGGCGGCGGCGGGGGAGGAGGCGGAGGCCCTCCGGCGGCGGAGAACGACAGCGGCGGCCCCGAAGTAGGGATACTAGTCGAGGCTCGCTTCATCTTCGTCGGGGGCGGCGGCGGCGGCGGCGACCTCGCCTTGAACTCCTTCTCCGTCTTCGGCTTGGCCGCCAGCTGCGCCTTGAGCTCCGCGACCTCACCGCAGAGCGTGGCGATCTCGTCGTCCTTGCGCGTGAGACGCTCGATCGTGCGCGACGCCATGAGCTCCGCGTCCATCTCCGCCCCACGATTCTCCTCGCGCGTCTCCTCCCGCGAAATAAACCGGGTATATACCGACTCGAGAGCCCGCTTGAGATACAGGATATCCTTGTCCTTGATCCCCATGGATGTCTGCAGCTCGCCATTCTAAAAAATAGGTAAGATCCTCGCGTGAACACTCCGAATGCAATCCGCTGACCATGGCTCTGAGTTTGGTGATCTCGTCATTCAACGATTTATACTTGGATCTGTCCCGCTCGCGTTTGGCGCGCTCATCCTGCACAATGGAGCGTCAGAACAGGTTCGACACAAAATCTGAAACAACTTGCCGCCTCTCTGGTTTTGTCGCTCGGGTTCTGGGCTCTGAGGCCGTCAACCTCACCTTGGAGTTGTAACACTTGCTTCTCCTTGTTTACCAGGCGCTGGACAAGCCCGTGGAAGTTCTGAATAATCGTCAACAAAAAACAAACAGATTTGAAAGAGCCGTATCCAACCTCGGGTCCCCCCTTTCCAGAGGCCTTCGCGTGTGGCACCGGGATGTTCAGCGGGAGCGCCTTGAGTGTGTTCATCTCCGCGAGTTGTTGGTTAAGCTTGTTGCGCAGCTCCGTACGCTATTTGAAAGTTAGGAGAAACACTCAAGCGTTCATAGTAACACATACCTCATCGCTCAGCTCCTCGTACTTCGTCCGCAGAGATTCGAGTTCTTGTTCCACGATCGTGCTGGACGAAGTCTCCGAGACGGCCTTCACCTCGAGTTCCTGGCCTGTGATATGGACCACAGACGCAGCGAACCGCTTCATAAATATG